GCGTCCGTTGTAAACCGCGACCCGCGCACAGCGCCATTTCACTGGGGAAAACCTTATTATTAGGGAGGTAGGCTATAGAGGAAGCAGCCAAACAGTATGCGGTGGGGACTCAGATAAAGAACCTTCTAGTATACAACATGGAAAAAAGAGTGACACTTTCTGGGTCATGCAATCCCTTTTTGCGATGCGCCATGCATTCCACTTCCGTTCAGTATCGTAGTGGCATTGCCATTACAGTATTCCTACAGTAGTTTCTAGTCATTTCTATTTCTTTCTAACTAATTATCCTCTCTGTAGCAGCAAACAACTACCTGTTGCTATATTTGTTCCTGGATGGAGTACATAAACGGATATGCCGTTCTTGTGCTCGTCACGATGAAGTTTCATTGCCATCAACACATTGCACAGTTTTGAATACGCATAAAGCCTTAATTCAATGTGTATGTTCCTCTATTTGACCTATAGGTAGACTTCAGACTTTGCGATGACGCGCGTCGACGCGCCATCATGGCATCGCGTGCCAACGCTATACAACGCGTGCCCTCCTGTTCTCCCACTTTCTCTTGAATCAGTAACGGTAGGTGCCGATCGATAGCCGTCGGTGGTTGCGTTCCCATCTATAGCTTTGGAACGCTGTTACAATGGCTGCGAGTCGACGTCAGCGCGAAGTCTGAACGCTGTCCCTCACTAATAGACCTACTTGTAGCCGAAATCGTTGCTTTCAGTCGGACAGAGTTTCGCTAGTTTCTCGTCCACAGACATTTCCGGTTTCAACTGCAACAGGGAGAGTAAGAAGTGAGAAGTTAAAAAGTGAGCGTTATGCGGAAAGAGTCGTCAGAAGTTGGAAGCAATGAACCGTGCGATGCAACCGCAGAGTACTAGCGGCTTCTTTCCGTTGGTGGTAGCGAGTTAGGAGACGCAGTTAGGGCACTTACCTAGATGTGGACCTAGTTGCAGGAAGACCCTACGTCGCGCCTCTGCGTTCCTCCCCCCACCTCCCAACCAGTGCTGAACCTTATCTGACACCATGCCTTCCCCGCGAGACTAGGCTCACGCCGGCTCTGGTCGCCTGAGCTTTGAGGCTAAATTTTGGTCCAGGAAGGTACACAGAGACGCTGTCGATTGCACCCCACATCCCTTTTCCGACTACGTTAGCGTCCCACTCGGTAGGGGTCGGAACAGGTCACCCTCATGGCGTTGTCTCGACCGTTACCCTTAACTACCATAGCATCTTTTTGTTGAGAAACAACGGTCCTTGCATAGACTATTGCCTATAGAGGGCGTCACCTAGTGGTCGTCCGCAGGTGCTCTGTAAGAGTGCTATAAGCTTCTTTCCTTGGGAAGGGCGCTAACGCAGTTGCTGTTTCGGTTGGTTGCGGATATGGCGTCTGTTTTGGCGCCCCAGTAGCGCTCACGGCAACTTGGGGCCATGACTTTTCGTTCCAGATCCGTTTCTATTTTGCATTTGTTGTTAATTGGGGGTCTCTATCACGACTATGACATTCGCCTGTTTGGAGCCAGCGCCATGTAGCGTTCCTGCTGAGCTCGGAAGCAGGAGTGATTCTCTTCTCGCAAACTCAGCCTTGGCAAAACGCAGACGACAGGAGTGTCATCGGTTAGCTCTTACGCTGTTTTTTTAAGGTTTTTGGGGTAGTCTAAACTGAATAGTGCCCCTTTGTGATTATATGCGAACTCTCAACGAGACACTGTTCCGCCTCTACTCATGTGCTTCAGTCCTAGAGAGCCCAGACAAGCAAAGCAGGGGTGACCAGGTTTCCCCCGCTGCTACCTTTTTGGGCCTGAGTGTGGAATAGTGAAACTTACCCCAGTATGATTATGTGAATGTGAGGAGACGACGACGACCCTTGCCTTGCACTGCCTCAGCAGCGGCAAAAGCTCCCGAACAAGATACTGATGAGCCACGTGATTCACACCGAATGACGTCTCCAATCCATCTATCGTAGTCTTTGTCTTTTGCGCTGGCATGAAGACACCTGCATTTAGTATGAGCGCATGGAGAGGCCTGAAGAGAATTTGAAGTTATCTGGAGATTATCAGCAATTATCACAAGAATGCTGAGTTGTGGGCAAAAGCCGTGCCCACAAGCGGGAGCCGAACGCGCACCTCATGCTCGGGCAAGTGCGCTATCAGCGGCTTGTTCCAAACTAAAAGTTTCAAATGGTGCATGTTGCTAGCAAAAAAGAAATGCTCCCTACCAATGCTGTTCCTTGTACTCCTGTGCGGCTGCCTGTACAGACTGGAGGGAACTCAGATCGCACATGATCAAATCGACTTTCGCGTCCGGCTGTAAAAAAAAGTGTTAGCACTTACTATCATAAAATGTAACTGAATATTTTAAGAAGCGAGCGTAATCGCTTTGATTCATGGATTCATTATGAAGACTGTTTGTGTTAAAGAGCGCGCATTTTTGCGCTTTGTAAATGGGCGCGATACGGGGCCTCCGTCAGTCTACGGCCCCACGCCCACATCCCTACCAGTGTGGTCTCTCATTGGTGCGCCTCTCCTCTCGAAGAGAGTAGAGGAGAAGCGCGTACCGATGCTGATGACGCAATGGTGAGTCTGACTGCGGGCCCGACTATTCCACCAGCGGGAATGTGCTTACCCGCCTGTTCCACCAGCGGGGAATGTGCCTTTGAAGTCAGACTGTACACTCACTTCCGAGTTTCTTGCCATGCGCGAGTTGAATGGCTCTAAGGTGCATGGGAACGAGGCTGTAGGGCTGGGTTACCCGACTGCCATCCCCATACTCTACCTGCGCTATCCTTAAAGTGCGGCACTTCCATCGATACAGAAGTCCCACAGCGAAACGCGTACTAACAAGGGAATGGTCTCAACTTCCCATGGAACTTTGAATGGAGACCTAGGTACATCGATAGAGCCTCGAATGCTGATTACGAATATGCAGATTAAAAGTGCTACGGGACCTCCCAGACGAGATCTGGGTGGTCAAAGTTTGCGAAAAGCCAGTTTTGGCTCGTAAGCGCTGCTGATCGATGCCTCGGCAGTGCCACCGTGGCCTCGTGGTAATGGTCTCGCTTTCAAGTCAACGCGGTGCGGTTTGCACAAATTTTTTGCTTTCGCTCTAATTTTCGAAATACAAGCTAGATCAAAGTAGATGACGACTCGATCGTAGTATATTTTGGTCATATCTGCTCTTCTGAAACATCTTACCATTCCGAAATTCAAGTATTGGCCATGAAATCGCATTGGGCAGATGAGGTTTTTTGCGATAAGGATTGTGCTAATTGTGCTTCAGGGCGTCGAATCTCCATTGAACGAGTTTTTTCGCCTAAAACTGTAAATTGTAGGATGGATAACCTGTTCAGAGTGTGCAAATATGACCAAATCCATACTAGATCGAGTACGTCATATACTTGATGTACTTGATCTACTTGCCCTGCTGGGCCGTAAATTCGGAAGAATTTTGAAAATTAGAGTTGAAGCTCTTATACGGAGCGAAGCAAAAATTTTCGCTGCCAAACCGGATGCAAAACCCGCACGCGTTGGCTCGAAAGCGAGACAGTAACACGCGCGGCCACGGTGGCACCTGCCAAGCAACCGATCAGTAGCGACTATACGAGCCAAAACTGGCTTTTCGCAAACTTTGACCACCCAGATCTCGTCTGGGAGGTCCCCGTAGCACTTTTAATCATATTCGTAATCAGCATTAGGCCCTATCGATGGTACCTGGGTCTCTCCATTTTCAAAAAAAAAAACAAAAATTATGGAAAGTTCAAACCATATCCCTTGGAAGCGGGAGGACAACCAGAGTCAGGCCTGTAAGGCCAATTAGCCGTGTCAGGGTCAGGCTAATTGTCAACGGCTGGCCTCCGTCTGTGCTCTGGCCAAGTGCTAGCTCGTCGTGCGACTGTGCGGGCGGAGTATGAAGACGGCCACTTCTACCCTTTATCCCTGTTCCCTGGGCCGCCCGTGATGTTGATGCAGGCTGCGAACCCACTCACCCCACAACAATCATGGTCAGGATCCATTATGTGTACGTACAGTTTGTCTTTGGGAGCAGCAGAAACAGAACCGCTCAGGATATCATACAAGCCAGAGACAATCTCCACAAACTTTCAGTTAAGGAATACAGGAAGCACTGATGAGTGGTCCCCTCATCAAAAATACTGCTCAGGGTTCGCCGATTCTACAAGTAATAACTGTGTTTGGTCAGTTGCCTACCCTAGCCAATACAGATAGGTGTCGCAAGCACAGTATTTCTTGAGCTACGCTAGCATTCTAGATTCGATCTTACCTTCTCTGCAAGTATCTCGATTCTTCAACGCCTCAGCTAGAACGATATTCCGATTCGCCATGATCACATGGGCTCCTTTCAGAGCTAATGTTCGAGCCGTTTCCATACCAATGCCGGCAGTTGTTCCCGTGATGAGAACTGTCCGACCAGTCAAGTCCACTTCAGAAAATTGTCTAAATAGTTATTTTTGTAGGCTTTTCAATAGGATCACATTTCATAAAAAGTTTCGAAAGAGGAATCTTCAAATCTTACGAATCTTCAAAGCTTACGTCAAGAGCAGGTGTCCGTGGCCCATACTTGCGGACACGCTCAGGAGAAGCGGCAAGGGGTGATGCCGGTGCACTAACCGTTACCGATATATCGTTCGCGTTCATCGCACTGATAGTGTACGATGCTCGTCGCGACGATGTACCAGACCCTAAAACCCTGCCTCTCAACTGGAATACACTTAGAATACTTCACTAAAGAACAATTAAAAACAAGCATAAATAAAGGGCTGGATCGAAGAAACCTACAGTCCTCTCATGCGGACCGGTGGGGCGCCAGAAGGAGTGTGCGCACACTGTTGAAGCCGTTCTCAGCCTTTTTTGTTGCAACGCGTATGCGACAAAAAGTGGTAGAAAACGAGTAATACGAAGGATATAATACAGTAATGCACTTGCCCGCTTCAAAAACTGGTGCAGAACGATTTTGCCAAACGCACAAACGGCAGCCCGCACTGCCACGCCCCTCCGGTCCGCAAGAAACAATGAAAAACGGCGGTAAGAGACTAATAGAAAGGATTTTCAGGCAGGCACGATGGACGCCGAGGATCCCCCAATTGGAACTACTGTATTTCTAACTCTTCTTGTACGCGTAAACAAATCTGAGACAAATGTAATCATAACTACTAATTCTGGCGGGGATCGCATATTGTCGCTGTACGGGAAGAGATGCCTTATTTGTGCTCAGCGAAAGAAAAATGTTCTATCAATAGTCCTGGAGGAAATTGTACTGACTTTTCCCGTTTACACTTCTAATCTGTATACGCCCCACACTCTTATTGTTTCATCATTAGTGGGTGACCTGATTAAAGCTACGTTACTCCTGAAACATTCGGAAGGGGTCCCGCTCCCCTCTCTCGCTAACTGGTAACTTTGTGGAGTCGTAACACAGATAGAAACTTTGGCATGGCGGGGAGGGGGAGGGGTGAAGTCAGTGATCCAAGGGAATCTTCCCATGGCAGCAGCACGCCCCCGTTTTCAGAGACCAATTTCGAGAACAGAACACTTCCTGAAGTAATCACAGTAAAAACGTTCCATGCTTCAGAGTAACTTGTTGAATGTCAACTGATATTAGGAAAAAGGCGGCTGTTGTGGAACCCCGCCATCGGAAATCGCAACGATCAATAGGACCAATAAATTTGAAAGTAGAAGAAGATTATACTCGAAACAGAAGTAAAAGAAGGGGCTTAATTGGCCAGAGGATAGGAGGGAATATTAGGTTTCATTGGGCGAAATGGTCGTAAAACAAATGAGAAAATTGTCCAACCATGATAAGGAACGAAGAGGTCCGCGCTACCTGAACCTATTGCTTGGCGCAAGAGCGGGTTTTGCAATTTAGTAATCCTAATTTGGACAAGAAGCCTTTGAATGACCTCCTTGCTCCCTCTCAGGCAATAGCCCCAATACAAAAGGCGATCGCAGATGTCTGAGGAAAAAATACCTATTTTGACACAAAAAGGTAATCATTTCTGCTTTCCTAGTGAACAGGTTAGGGTGATAGACCAATAAATCGACTTGCCACTCAACTAATAATTTGTTTTGTGATCCCGAAGACTAGTGGGATAGAGTAAGCGTGTCCTGCCCAAGATCAGTAATCCTGCCACATCACCAAAAAAGCCTTCCTGCCAGGGCACATTGGTTGGAGATTTAATCGAGTCTGTACGACCCTCCCCCCTTTTTCGGGGGTTGGTACGACCCCTCCCCTCCCAACAATGACCAAGTACGACCCCCCCCCCTTTACAACGTCCGTGAAGCGAGAAAAATCAACTATCAAAATAAATTTTTCCCAGCCCAAATACGACCCCCCTCCTGGCGGCCAAATACGACCCCCCTATTGGGGATTCCCCAACAACGATGTGCCCTGCTTCCTGGGCGAAAAGTGACCGACATTGACACGCTTCATGCAATATGACCGGTACAGCCAGGACTGATCACGTTTGATCCGACAAACATGTCAGCACATGATAGTAACTGATGCGTGCGTGCCCATAA